TCGTGTGATCTTTCCACGTCAGAGAACCTATCATATTTCGCCTGCTCGTATCGCTCTTGTTTGCGTAATTTCCAGTCAGGTACAACTGCCAGCAGTATTCGCAATATCGCTTGTAATTAATTCTCGCTATCGCGCGTTCCAACTATGACATGATTTTCAGACGTCAAGGAGAAAACCCATCTTGTAATTAATACCAACCGGTTGTAAGCGCACTTGTAATCTCGCGGAACGAGCCAGTTAGAGAAAATCGACGAAGTCTGATGCGCGTCGCATTGTATTCCGAATTCCCGCGTCGGCATTAACAGGTCGTTTTGACCAAAGCTAACTGAAGTACAAACTAATTTGGCAAATTAATAATGATACGTTGTTTACACAATAATACGTAAATTGCATGCGCTAATTCAAACATAACGTTGCAAAATGATAATGTTGTACTTACCTATCCGAAGCGTGCGAATGGAGCAGCATACGAAAGTTTCTGCCGTGCATGTAATAGCTTGAATTATGAGATATTTGCCCGTGTGGAAAATTTGCAAAAAGACATAAAGTAAAGGATCGATTTTCGTTTCATAGTTGAAGTTCGCGAGTAACGTACTCTCTAAGTTTCTTAGAGTGAAATTTCACTCGCAAAGTAAGTCACTCGAGTGACTTTTTATTCAGAAACCTGTTTAATTTCTCCACTCTTAAATACCGAGTATATATTTTCACTTGAATTTTAGGAGTGAATCTGATGTATTCCACTGTCCCAGGAACATATTCAATCGATTGCAACATTCGCTCATATCAAGAATTCATCCTAAGTTTGAGTGAAACATTTACTCTTGCGATTTGCGAGTGGCGATATTTTCATTGTCGCTTTGAGTAAAAATACTTTTCATTTGTTTTGAGAGAGATTTGCAAAAAATTTAAAGTTCTTTTTAAGTTACTTGAGTGAAATTACTCGAAAAGTAGAATACCAACTGAATCATACAAATTTTAATAATTGTTCACTCATATAAAGTGAATTCTCTACTCTGAATTGTCAGGTGAATATTTTTACTCGAAATTGAGGAGTGAATCTGATATACTCCACTGTTATAGAAACATATTCAATCGATCGAAACATTCGCTTAAGGGGATTGGAGGGTCAGATTGCCTGAAAATTGTGCTTGTGTTTCATAATTTTTTTTGACAAACTGAATGAATATGCGAAAGTGTTATTTTGACGTGTATTTATACAACATATAAAGAGAAGAAAAATATAATTTTGATGATGAAATATTCAATATAAATGTATGGTTCATGCAGTTAAAATATATTTCGTTTTTTTTAAGCTCGTCATTTTGCAGTAATATCTTGACTTTCAGTGGTTAAATTAAGCTGAATTTTAGGTAGAAAATTTCCGTAAGTTTATCGTTATCGTGTGAACCACTACAATAGAAATTGAGTAAAAGTTAACAAAATTGCAAATATCTTAATGGAATATTATTAAATTTTCCGTTTTTTATAGTAAAAAAATTAATATTTCAAAATTAAATATTTTCACGAGTTTATCACACGATAACGACAAGCTTATGGAAATTTTCTACCTAAAATTCAGTTTAATTGAACCACCAAGAGTCATGATATTACTGCAAAATAACGACTTTGAAAAGAAAAACGAAATATATTTTAACTGCATGTACCATATATACTTATATTGAGTATTTGATTATCAAAATTATATTTTTCTTCTCTTTATA